AATTCCAACTCACTTACTATTTGAAGTACTCATTTAAGTATCACATAAAAGTACTTAATGTATAATTCTACTTCTAAATTACAGTTTCCATCTATTCATCTAGAGCAAAATACCAATCCCTACTAATCTTAAGAAATGTCAAAATATCCAATTTATATTTAAATTTCCTCTATCAATTGATATTTTATAAACAAGTAGCAGAATTCTCCCAAGTCTAAGCTACAAATCTCAGAACTCACTGAAGGATTTGTGAGTTAACTTGTTTTGTTGTTATTGTTTGGGGTTTTTTTAAATCTTATTTTGTTATAAGCATAAATCTTACGCTTTTCCAAACATGAAAGATACATGAATGATACAGTAAACCAAATTCTAAAGATATATTTCACTTAATCTTCAGCCTCCAAAAATATGTATCCTTATATCTACATATAGAGTTTATATCTTTTAGTCAAAACACAGATTTTTGTATTTAAATATTTTTACAAAAAAATCAAAATATCTGAACGGTTTAAAGAACAGTCTTCCAGAAATAGTAAATTATACAACAAATATTGAAAATGAGTATTTTTAAGGCAAATATGACTATAATTTATCCACCTGTATAATAAAGAATTTCAACTTTATTCACTCATCCTCCATAATTCATACAGGTAAGTCAAAGCAATAACTATACCAACCACTATTCGGAAACCATCTTTGGAAATATTCCACATACAATTCCAGTTTATGTCTCTCTGATGTGGAGAGAGAAAAGTCCTTCTTCCCTGACCCAAGTCACAGAAAAAAACAGTATCATTTTAAAAGCCTAATTCCAGCCAGTGTGACATAGGAATTTGTAATTTTCATGTTTCTATTTAAACATGAAATGTTTCAAATTTCCAACTGGCTTGTAGTTCACAAGTTGATGCATGACCTTTACTTGCTACAACTACCAGAAAAACAGCTCTGATGAACTTTCTGAATACGGTAGTTTAAAAACTAAAAGAAAGATCTAGCTGCAAACTACTAATGTATATTTTAATATCACTCTTTAATCCATAATAATTTATGAGAAAATTTTTAAACTTAAAAATTATATTAATAATGAGTAATCAGAAATGTCAACTTTTAATGTAGCTGTTTCTTCAAAAACTGAAGGGGGAATGTGGGGATGGTTACCGGACACAAAAAACACAAAGAATACGATCTAGTATTTGATAGCACAACAGGGTGACCATGCTCAATACATTTAATTGTACATTTTAAAATAACTAAGAGTATAATTGGATATTTGCATCACAAAGGGTAGATGCTTGAGATGATGGGATACCTCATTTACTCTAATGTGATTATGCATTGTATGCCTGTATCAAAATATCTCATATAACCCATAAACACCTACTATGTACCCATAAAAATTAAAAACTAAAAATAAAACTGAACAAGCACCTTGGGAAAATGCCGTACCCTTAAAGACATGTCCATAATTTGAAACTGGGATTTCAATATTGTTTTATATGTTGGCTTTATATTAAATTTCAGCCATTTGAAAGTTACAAACCTTAGACAAAGCTTTTATTTAGTTTTGTCTTTATTTTTGTCTATTTTTCAAATGGGTATTTATAATTACATAAAAAGTTTACAGTATACTTTATGTCCAAATAGATAAAAGGTTTATCATACTCAATTTAAGTTCCATATGAGGAGAATGGTCATTTGCATGCTTTATTCCTAAAATTCTTTTCACTGTCACATAGCAAAACATCAACACTTGATAAATTCAAATTATAAACATAACCTTACTGAATGTTACAAATTGGATGACATAGCTAAGTCTCTTCAAGTACACAGTAACAGTTCTACAGCCCATGGCATGGAGGATGAGAGTAAAGATTAGTAAGTACACTAATAAACTGAGGTCTTTAAAATTAAAACTAGTTTTCAGTTTTTGCTGCATTTAGTTACAAAAAACACTTGGTTACACAAGTGTACCTTAGGATTCTGAAAAACATAACAAAAAGCTTTTGATATAGTAGTCCCTCTTGACTAAAAACTAGACGCACTCAGTATCGACGAAAAGTATACGAAATGACACAGGTGTAAGCCTAGACACTGCTGGTAGTTATCACGCTGGAGGCAAATACTATACAGTCCACATCTGCAACCTAATTTTGCTTCAGCATCCCCAGAGACTTCGAAAATATTTCTTTGGGTAGGTTGCAAAACAGAGCTTCCTCTTTTATTCTCATCACCCCCATTACGATACAAAGCAACAGACAAGAAAATCAAACAGCCAACTATAAGGGCTTAAACACACACACAAAGCATCTTCTTTCTAGCTCCCGAATCGGTATTTATTCCACCTGTTTGTAAATCCATAATTCCACAATAACACAAACTGCCTGCTGAAAGAAAGGAGGGAAGAAGAGAAAAACAAAGAAAGAGGAAAAAGAAAGAAAAGAAATAAAGAGAAAGAAAGGCAAATTAATGCTTTGGAGTCATTACTCTTCCACCTAGGCATGGGGGGAGGGGGATGGTACAAAAACAATGGATATTGAGGGGCTGGGGAAAAAAATCGTCTTGCCCCGAAGCCTCTTGTGTTACGAGCCTGGGGGAGTCGGGGGAGAGTGAGACTACTTTTCCTCTCTCCCTAAAAGCTGTGCTATCACGGGGAGAGGTTGCCATCCGGCATGTTCTATGAGGCGGTCTCGAAGGGCTACAACTCGCTTCGCCAGGCAACACACCCAGAGCCGATCCAGCACTCTTCACTCAAAGGGTTTTCAGGGAGAGGAGAACGGGAGAGCAAGGTGGGCTCTAGGGAGGGGGCACGAAGAGACCCCACCCTGTATGACCGCCGCTGCGCCCTGGCCCTCGCCAACGATTTACACGACTTGGGCGCCCTGCGGACTGGGCCCGGGGCCCCCGGGAACCGAGAAGAGCGAGACTGTCCGCCGGGCGCCCCCGGCCCGCGCCCTCGCGCCGGCTCGCCCTCGCCCAGGCGCTGTCCTGGCCGCCCGCCGCCGCCGCAGGCCCGGCCCCGGCCGCTGTCAGACCCGACCGCCTTCCTCTCCGCGCCGAGCTGCGGGCTCCCACGCGAGCAGGCTCCGAGGGCCCCGCACTCCCGGAGACAGCACCCAGGAAAGCGGCGGCGGCGGCGGCGCCTCCCAGGGCCCCGGCCCCTCGGGCCTCGCCCCGGCGTTGCCGGCTCGCGCCTGTCAGGGCGCGCGGGGCCTCCCCCTACCGACAGCCAGCCCGACTGCCCGACGGACAGGAAGGCAGGCAGGAAGAACCGACCAACAGACACCCTCCGCCTCATCGGCCCCGGGTTACCGTCAGGAGCCCCGACTCCGCCATCCTCCTCGCTCGCCCTGCTTCCTCCTCTTCCTCCTCCTCCTCCTAAGAAGCGACGCTGCCCAACCGCCGCCCCCCGCCCGCCCCTCCCCCACTCGCCCCGCCCCACCCGCCCCTCCACTACTCTCGCTCCAGCCTCCCCGCCCCACCCCTCCGGCGTGGGCCCGTCACTCGCTAGGCAAGAAAAATGGGCGGAGCCGGGACAAGCGAAGCTGCCCAATCAGAGAAGGGCAGTGGCGCCTGCTTCTCTCTCTCCGCCCTTTTCCTTTCCTCAGTTCCTCTACGCCGTCTCCCGCCCACTGGGCGCCGCTGGCTAGCCGGGCTACAGAGTAAGCCTCCCGCAGGGTAGAGTGACAACTCTCCGATCGGAAGTTACTGTTGAAGCTAAGGCAGCCATAACTGATAATGGCAAGAGGAGTTTCCTGGCTTCCTGTTTCCAGGGTGACGTAGATTTTTTTCCTTCGCCAGTCTCACCGTTACCCGGGGCAACAGCTGAGCCGTCTGGGAAGGGATGCATCTGTAAGTAAGCCCAAAGAGGTACCATGGGTGACCAGACATCCCATGTTAGACAAGTTAATTCATACTCTGGACTACACGTCCAGTTTCCCGGCCCTTATTTTACTGAGACATCTGGTCACATACGTAGATGGACTATAGTTTAGGGCTCCGAAAATCCCTCTCCTGCCCGGAAGTTGCATTTGGCACTTCCGAATAGGGTCATGGCGGAAAGGGGTAAATAGCCTCGCCGCCCGTGCCCTAGGGAATGCCCATTCTTGACCTCAGTTGTAAAGTGAGGTGAGTCCCTGGGCCCCAACCAGTGGGCTGGACCCGGGCCGGACGGTCCCTGTGGGACGGAGCGCTGAATGGAGAGCGGGGCTCAGGGCCCCTTCCGTTAGAAGCTGCTTTTCTTTCCGGGCTGGCCTAGCGGCGGCCCGCCCTCCCTCCGCCCCCCTGAGGCTCCCTGTGGGGTGAGGCAGCGCTACAGGCCGCCCTAGCCCAGCCAGAGCCAGCCTGGCTAGGAGGGCCCCAGCGGGGAATGGGCGCGGACTTCGGGCGGAGCTCCTAACTCCGGCAAAATGGAGCTCCTGACCACGCCTCCGCAAGTTCCTATTAAGTACTTTCACTCTCTGGCCTTTAGAGGGAAGAGAATTCGGGAACTTGAGAAAATCATTTTCCACCTTCAGCTATAAAAGAAAAAGATGAGCCCCTACAATCAGGGCAAGACCTCTATCTTTTTCCCCTGCCACCTGCCTTCTCATTCTGAGTTTTCCCCCCTTTCCGCGTCTGTCCTTTGAGTCTTTGTAAGCTTTGACTGCGGTTCTTGTGGTGGGATATACTATCCTAATCCTGCAGGTTTACAGATTCTTCTTAACGTGTTGAATGTTTTTGAAAATACTGTATTGCTTTAATATGGCCCTTTACAAAGTTATCATACATTATCTTGTAGTTTCTTCTGTATGCTTGAGTCAAGAACTCTCAGTCATCTTGGTAATACCGGGTTGGATGCTTAAAGCTGCAGCAAAAAGACGAGAACTTTCAGGTAAAATTGAAAATTGTTAATATCCATCCAGTCAACAAAACCTACCTTCTCGACTTAATTTCTACTTCCCTGGTACTTACACGCAAGCCAAAATGAACTACTCTTGTTTCTTGGCGGTTAATTACTGAAATCTGTTGTAGCACTCACCTTTTGTGATTCTGTCTGATTCTGTTATTCGTGGAGATGTGTTTCCAGATTCTCCCCAGCAGAAAGTAATTCCTCTGAGTTTAGCATTTTTTGCACGTCTTTTTGACAATCAGTATGTTATATATATAATAGCCGCTTATGTTTTTAACTTCACTACCACGTCTGCACCTAAATAGAATGGTTTGTATCAGATTCGTCTTCCTGTCATTTTCACCCTGCACATGATATTATTTTGGTAAATACTTACTGAAAGTTTGAATATCTCGGGTGTCTCTTGGATGCCCAAGACACTTCCAGCCAAGTTTTAGAGACCTTCAATTTATCAGAAATTCAGCTGAGCGCCTGCTACTCAGCCTTTTTTTACGTTTTCCCTGTGAAGTCTTTCTGACATGATTGTTTTTCCCCAATGTTTTATTATGAAAGTGTTCATATATTTAAAAGCTGAAAGAATTAAATAATTTAATGAATATTCATATACCCATCATCTAGATGCAGCAGTTAACATTTTGCCATATTTTTTTCATTCCTCCTCATTTTTTCATTGTCGTAAAAAGTTGCAGACACTTATTGTTAGGCAGACACCCTTAAGACTTTGAGCATGAATTTCCTGAGAATTTTGAAGTTCTCTAGCAAAACACAATATCATTATTACAGCTGTTTTGTAATGTTTAAAATCTAGCCCAAGTGCTAATTTTCCTAATTTACCCAGGAATATCTTTTATACCTTCTCCTTCCCAATCTTGCAAAAAAAAGAAATCAGGATCCAGTCAAAATTTTTCTTCAGCTTTAATGTAGTGGAGTTCCCCCATCTTTTTCCCCCTGTGACATTGGCATTTTGAAGAGTTCAAGCCAGGAGTCTTTTTGGAAATGGGCCCCCCTTTTTTCTTCTTGTAAACCAGAAATTAGTCTAGAGGCTTAAGTTGAACATTTTTTTTTTGCAAGGATATGTCACAGTGTTCATACTTTTCCAGTCATGACTAAGCCTTCTCAAACGCCAAGTATACGCACCTTTTCCATGATTTGCTGGTTAAATCCATCTCACTTCTCAGCATGCTTACCCCTCTCTGGTGTCCTGCAAAGAGGAGGGTAGCATTTAATCATGTGTGTATAGAGTATGTGTTAGTGACTTGGGTTGGCAACATAGACTGACTACCTTTAATAAAGTGTTGCCGCTACTTTGCCTATTCTTGGAGCTGATGCAATGTATTTCTGCAGTAAAGTGTACTGATGTCAGCATAGTTTATGAGTTTCAACTCCTGGCACCCTGCAGACATTGTTGAAAGATGTGTGGGCCCTGCTATTCAAATACAGATGAATCTTGATGTTATCAAAGCAAATACCAAGGCAACTGTTGGCCATCTGGTCACATTCCAATTTAGGCATTGTTATTTTTCTCACTGAAATTCTCATGCAAGTCTTAATTGGTCCTGGTGTTTTTGTGATAGCTTTTTGGTAGCATTAAGCAGAGCCTATTAAAAATTACAAAATCAAGATTATACTTAACACTTAGTACATTAGATACATCCTCTGTCTAATGGATAGATAAGTGTTTGTGGAATTTACTTCATAATCACAAAAGGAAAATTCTCAAGACTGCCAACCTCATATACTCCTCCTAGCCTAGACTTATATTTGATCATGAAAGATAAGTGAAAGGAAAAAACTGCACATAAGGGAGCGGAACAAAATGCTCTGGGAGGACAGAATCTCTTAGATTGGTATAGAGTGTTTTTAGCCATCATATTGAAAATTACGTAATGCATTCCGTTAGTTGCTTCCTTTGTGTAGAAGGGAATTTGCTTTTGTGGGAATACTCCAGATTTAAGTGAGGCAAAATAATATACCAATTAAGATCACAGGTTTTAGCATCAGACCTGGGTTTCAGGAATAAGACTATTCAATAACTGGATGACCTTAGACAGTCTACTCACTCTATTATCTATTAAACGGCGCCTTGCCAGGTGTGGCTCACACCTATAATCCCAGCACTTTGGGATGCTGAGGCAAGTGTATCACTTGAAGTCTGGAGTTTGAGACCAGCCTGGCCAACATGGCAAAACCCTGTCTCTACCAAAAATGCAGAAATTGGCCGGGTTTGGTCTCACACACCTGTAGTCCCAGCTACTCAAGAGGCTGAGGCATCAGAAACGCTTGAGCCTGGGAGGCAGAGGTTGCAGCGAGCCAAGATCACGGCACTGCACTCCAGCCTGGGCAACAGAGCAAGACTCTGTCTCGAAAAAAAAAAAAATAAGTAAAATTTTAAAAAAAGAGCCTTAAAACCTTTAGGGATTGTTGTACAGAATTAATTCAAATATATATAAAGTGCTTTACCTCAGTTTATATAGCACATGGAATGCAGTCGGTGTATGGTAGTTAATAACTTCTAAAGCAGTCCAGTTAGGGGACGTATTGAATTTGGACACATATTGACATTGACTATTTAGTGAGTGAAGGAATGAATCTATGCAGTAGTTCTCTTAAGTTTAATGTGGGGGACTTGATTAAAAGTTAGGGTCCAGCTGCCATGGATCATGCCTGTAATCCTAACAATTTGGGAAGCTCAGGTGGGCAGATCACTTGAGCCCAGGAGTTTGAGACCACCCTGTCTCAAAAAATACAAAATATTAGCCGGGCAGGGTGGCATGTGCCTGTAGTCACAGCTACTTGGGAGGCTGAGGCTGGAGGATCACTTGAGCCCAGAAGGTCAAGGCTGTGGTGAGCCATGATCACATGACTGCACTCTAACCTGAGCAACAGAGTGAGATCCTGTCTTAAAAAAAAAAGAAAGAAAAAGTATTCTGATTCAGCAATTCTGATTTCTGGAGAGCTCCAGAAAAATCTGTATTTTTAATAATTGTACAGGGAGTTTTGATGCAGATGATTTGGGAACTGGGCTTTGAGAAGCACTCTGTAGAGTATCAAACAACTTTTCTCTTTCCTTGCACACTGTTGAAATAGCTAACTAAATATCTCAGGTGTGAGCAAATACTTTTTTAAAAGGTTAATAGCTAACATTTTTAGGACCACTGTCTAGTATTGAATTTTGAAATAGGAAGGGTTATTAGAAAAAGACATTTTATATGAGTAGGATGTATCATTACTAACTTAATAGTAGTGTCTGCTACTGGATTTTCCCAGAGCCAGTGGCATCATCCCCAAGTTCACCCAAGAAGAATTCCCGTTCTTAGGCCTAGGCACATTTCAGAAGCTAGACACCACACATTTTATTCACATGAGCTTGAATTAATTAGCTAAATCGAACATGTTGGAACATTTTTCTACCAGCAGATGCCAGATAGCAAAACAGTAGAATCTACTGTAGTCTCCGATATATGACATATGATGTTACTTGGCATCTCCAGATAAACATTATCAATCCAAATTAAGCATTCTGCTAGCATGTGGGCAGTTGCTTGAGTGAGTATTACTACTTTATGTTTGCTGAAAAATGCATTCTTTCTAGGCTCCCCTTTTCACCTTTTTCTTATATTTACATTCAGAAATCTAGTATGTTTTTGAAAATTCACCTATCAGTTAACCACAAGTCTTGGATAAGACAAAAGATAAAAATTTTGTTATTCTACCATTGTCACCACCCCCTACTCAGAACCCCCACAGTAGGTAGGTTGGATTTACTTTAAGGAACCCAACTTAATAAATATTCACAGAAGAAAAATATTCTTTACATAAAGTATCCTTTACAGTCCATGGCCATGATTGCTCCTGACTACTACTTCAGTTCCCAGAGATTGTATTTTTGTATTTCAATGCCTATTAATAAAATTAGCTTGGCATATGTTCATAGTGGCTCTGTTTTACTGTAGTTGCAAAGTCAAATGAGTACAATGGATGGGCAAGTAGTAAGAGGAAACAATAGGCAGTAGGAAGGACTGGAGAATTCCAGAGCATGTGCTTACCTAAGTGAAGCATCACTTCCCAGCTAGCCAAATTTTGCCATATTGAAATGTGGGCTTGATGTTGCCAGATTTGTCAAGTGGAGCTAAAATTTGGATTTTTTGTGAAATTTCCTGATTTTTAAACATCGGCTCAAATACTTTTTAAATACCTGTAAACCAACAAAATATTTAAGTGGATAGCATCCAGGGTTACCAGTTTATGACATGTATGTTTCTTAACATGAAAACATAAGTGGTGCTTTTGTTGAGAATCTCAAAATGCTTTAGAAATTTTTTCTTTCTGCCATATGTCAACTGCATTTACTTCTGTAGGTTAGGCAACAAGTCACTGTCATCTCCATCAAAAATTCAAGATAGATTATTTTATACAACAAGCCTCTGTTCCCTTGATTACAATTTTAAAGGTTTTAACCTTTGCTGCCCTTTTGAAAGTTTGTTCATATTTTCCCAACTTTGAGTTCTATTATGAAATAGGGTTGCTTTATTATCATACTTTTTAAAACATTTAAGAACACAATTTGGCAGCACATAGTGCTTCAAAAGTAAGTAAGTGAAACAGGTTTTTAAAGAAAAGCACCTCTAAATAGATCATGCTGTCTTATACCATGATATTTATGAAGATTCAAAGATTTTTAGAGACAGAAGATACCGTATGGTAATCTAGAACAAGCCCTTTATTATAGCAATATGAAAATTAGTCCTGGAATAATAAATGTCATACTGTATTTCTAAGGACTTTTACATCCACTTATCACTTGAACCTTATAACCCAGGACAGATAATAAACATGTTTTGTATGAGAAAATGAAACCTCTGGTTAGCTAAGAAATGTATTCAAGGTCACACAGCTAGTTAGCAGCTATGACCAGAGTACAACCATGTACCCCATTTAAAGTATAAATGTGAAATAGAGTACAACTAGTTAGCATCAGAGAGCAACCCTGTACTTCATTTAAAATATAAAGGTGAAATAAATTGATTAGAAAAAAATGACAGACTCTAGTATAAGCTTCTGTTTTATTTAAGTCACACATTGGATTTTACTGTCACAGTATTTAAAACACATGGAATCCTAGGATATACTCAAGCATTCTATTTCTAACTTTATAACTGGGGTCTTGTACAATAAGCATAAGCTGATAAGTTTAGATACATTAATACAGGGAGAAAGGAATTACAATGAAGATGTAGTGACAAGTGAGAAGTAGTATGCATATATTATGGAGGATAAACACATAGACCCATGGAATGGCTCCTTGGGGCTCCCAGCAAAGATCAAATACTAGATTAAGGAGACTTAGTGTGGGGAGGACAGTTCTAAAAACATCCAAATCCCATCCTGAACATTTTTAGAAACCAAGACTTGACTTTGGCATCCACAATATGTTTTCATTTTGATGTTTCTGATCCATATGTACACGTTGTGAGTAATCAGGAATTGGAGTTTGGATTTTAGTAATTTAGTCTCCTTCTCTGTCTGTCCCCTGTGTGGCCGCAGCTTACATTTTCCAGATGGCTAGATGAAGATAGGTGCAGTGTAAAGCTAATTGCCCTCTTCAGCTATTCAACCCAGGATCAGTATCTTCTCATATGAGCTGTGATATAAGCTGTCATATAATTTGTGATATGATGAAGATAATTTAAAAATGCAAAATTTGTAAGCTTTTAAAGTGTTGTATATTTCTAATTAAGCTTGGGATTTGAAAGTTTCAGTGACATAGTGTTTAAATAATATATAATGCTATAAACAAAATCTGGAGTCAAAAACCAGGTTTTTTTCCTAAGAGATTTATTTCAGAAAGCATCAAACATGACAACTGGAATGCTAAATCCTCAAATAAAGAAGACAAAAAAAAAAGAAAAGCTACATGTTGGTTAGAGCCATATATTGGTCTGACTGTAGCACAGCTCCCCTAAACTAAGGAGGAAGAAATGTGCTTTAGTCAATATGCTGCACTTACTTTTTCATCTACCTCATTCCTAAGATTTACTGTTTGCCTCATATTTTATTTTCACCGTCCTTTGTAAGGGTTATTAGTGTCTTCAAAATTTCCCATTTCAGTAGAAATTTAAGATTGTATGTTACTTCAGCCTTTGTTGGCTTCTGCACACCATAGTCTACGATTATCTCTCCACCGTCTTCTTAAATGTTGATATTCCTTCAGTGAAGCACCATACTAAACCTGCAGGGGACCTCCCTGTCAGTCCTACAGATGCAGCATAGAGAAAACTGAAAAGAGACTTTGCCTTTGAGTAAGGCAGAGCCGAGTTCAAATCCCATTTCTTCACTTGTCAACTATATGATGTTAGACAAGATAACTTTTCTTAAACCTTGTTTTAATCTGTTAAATTTCATCATATATATGTGTACCCAATATATAATTTTACCCATGTGCCCGTTCACCTCCCGCTGCAGTTGGGAGATGCAGTGGGAAGTGGATGGGCACATGGGTAATTCGATTATAAAATCACCCGTTATGGTGATAAAAGTTATTTTCAAAATTACTGCAGAAAATTCCTTAAAATATCTACTTAGTTGAAATACATGCATGACTTCATACTAAACACTGTGTTGCTGTTGTTATTCTTAAGCAAACTAAAATTTAAGAGCCACTAAGCTAACTAAAGAAAAGAAGCTAAGGTAAATGTCTTGACATTTAAACATCTGCCTTTAATGTAACTCTTAAGAGTATAGGTATTGAGAGAAGAGGTGGAGAATTCTAAAATATTTTTGCTTACCCATAGGGTTTTCATCATGCTTTTTTAGTAACAGGCCTCTATAACTAATACATGTTAATAAGCTTATTTTTTCTGAAAATGTAATCTTATGCCAACATTATAATGGTACAGTATGGTAAGAATTGCTGACATTCATTGAGCTTTCATGCAGGGTTTGGTCTGATGGCTTTATATGAATTATATCTTTAATGCACCAGCCATCTCAAGTTGATGCCATTGTAAGCTTATCTTGCAGTTGAAACAAAGGCTTAGAAAATCAAGTAATTTGTTTAAGCGACTAATCTGACTTCAGCTGCTTCTTTCAACCACCATATTATACTCTTGTCTCTTTTTACCATCACCCCACCACTCACCATCTTGCCATATCTTTCTTGAGTGATTATATCCACCTCTGTAGCTTGCACTACTGTACAGTTGACTCTGGGCCTCCAGTCCTTTTTACCTTCCTCTTGGACTTCCACACTCTATGAATCTAAACCGAACTCATGGTCTTTACTCTTCCTTCTTAACCTTCTCATCTGTGTTTCCAATATTAATTAATATGGGTATATCCACAATCATGTTAGCTCACTTTAGTCGTCCGTGGTCATTTCATTATCACCTACTGGCGGTGAGGGGTGGGAAGGTGGAGGATGTTTGAATCTCAACTTCTTGTACCCTTAATTACCTCTTATATCTTCTCCTCTTAGTGTCTGTTATCACTGCTTTAATTCATACTTTCATCATCTTACCTAAACAATTACAGCTTCCTTACTAATCTTTCCTCTAGTGTCTCTTCTCATTTTTCCTTCATTTTGTCTAGAATATGTGTTTCCAAAACATGAATCATGTCACATAACTGCTTAGAACCATCCAGTTAGCTCCCTTCTGACTATAGGATACGAAGTCCAAATTCAGCATTGCAGACTGAGTGTGAACTGGCCTCTACCTGGTCACTCCCACCACAATACCTGTTGCACACTGTACATGCACTGCACTCTAGCCATGTCCCCCAACAGAACACTTTTTTAATGCGTCTTCATTTGAACGTATTGTTCACTTTGTCTACAACATCTACCCTTTGCTATACATCCCCTTCTCTGCCTAGTAAACCCCCATTCAACTTTCTGGGACTAGCTCCAATGTCATGTTTAATGATTCTTTTTCAGAGACCACCCATTGTCCCCTATCCTTGGCCAAGTTTTTAGTGGTTTTCATTTCTTAAGGCACAATAGGCATGCTTTTATTAAAGTACATTGTATTCAATTATAATTACTTATTTACGTGTGTCTCATTCCCTACCTCACCTCCACCAAAGAAAGGAACTGGTTCTTACCTACTCTGTCTCCCTCACTTAGCTACAGCTGGTACATTATTGACATTTAGTATGTTTGTTGAAAGAAAAAATCTGTTTGTATAGGCACTTTATCATTCCAAATTCTTTTCACGTTACATTTGTTAGTTTTCTACTCTGAAAGAGTAATGCTTTTGTTGTCACCTAAAACGACGACATTCTCATGTTTATCACTCTAGTCTTTACTGTCCAGTGTTTATTTCCAAATAGAATACAAGGTACAGCATTAATTTGACCTATCAACTCATAATTTCTGTCCACTGTAGAGATTTATACTTCCTTGAACAAAGAACTAGGAGCTGGGCTCTTTTCCCAAATATGTAATAGGTATGCAGGGAAGATCTTCGTGAAGGATTCTGTCTTCCTCTAAGACTTTCATTTGTAGGTCTCCTGCAAATCTACAACATTTAAGTTCAAGAGATGACGTAAGAGCCAACCTTTTCTGGCCGGGCACGGTGGCTCATGCCTTTAATCCCAGCACTTTGGGAGGCTGAGGTGGGTGGATCACGAGGTCAGGAGATCGAGACCAGCCTGGCCAACGTGGTGAAGCACCGTCTCTACTAAAAATACAAAAATTAGCTGGGTGTAGTGGCGCATGCCTGTAATCCCAGCTACTCGGGAGGCTGAGGCTGGAGAATCGCTTGAACCCAGGAGGTGAGGGTTGCAGTGAGCTGAGATTGCACGACTGTACTCCAACCTGGTGCCAGAGCAAGACTCTGTCTCAAAAAAAAAAAAAAAAAAAAAAAAAAGGCCAACCTTTTCATAACAAAATTATATAAATCTTAGTCTTTACAGTTTGAAGGGTCTTGCTGTTGATTGCTTTTGTTTCTATGAAGATACTTGCCTAATGGAAAATCTATTGAGGGTATCATTGTTTTGCTGGCTTGAGTTAACCACCACCCCATCATGGCTTTTACTTAAATCACTGCTTCATATACTTCCCTTTGCCTATTGGACACTTGTTCTGAAAAGTCTCATAAGCATATCTTAGTCATTAGATTCCAAAGTTGAACTCTTGTCTTTCCCTAGCTTTGTGATTTCACAGTGTAGCTAGTTGCTCAATTGAAGCACCCATTT